ACAGCTGCTGCTGCTGCTGCTTCTACTGCTGCTTCTGCTCTGCTGAGCGTTTAGGGTTTAGGGTTTAGGGTTTAGGGTTTAGGGTTTATCTGGGGTTTGTTTGGGTTTATTATGCTTTCCCCTTACCTCGGTATGCGTAGCACATTCTTTGCCTGCTTAAAAAGCAGCAGCAGAAGAGATGCTGCAGCGCATGCATCGTCTCTCTCTGCCTCGTCCCCGGGGCCCCTCCGCGCAGCAGGGTACAGGGGGCCCCCGGGGGGCCCCCATGTGCCCCCCCAGGGGCCTCAGGGGGCCCCCCAACCCCAAGGCCTTGCACAGACGGCATCTCTGGCTGGGAGCGGAGCTCGGCACCTCCTGGGGGCCCCTCAGGGGCTGAGGGGGGCCCCCTGCGGGGGCCCCCCAGGGTCTCTGAGAGGGGGCCCCCCGAGGGGCCCCCCGAGGGGCCTTGGAGACTTCTTAGGGGCCCCGGGGGGCCCTAGAGTTGCTGCGTGGGGGCCCCTAGGGGCCCCCGGGGGCCCCCCAGGGGCCCCCTGTATCTGTAATTTAGGTGGTTTGATGGGGGCTGTTAGGTTTGGGTCCGCTTCTGTGTTGCCGCCGTCCTCAACCCCAAAAGCAGCAGCAGCAGCAGCAGCAGCAGCAGGGGGAACAAAAGCAGCAGCAGCAGCACAAACAGCAGCAGCAGATGTGCGGTACCAAGCAGCAGCAGATGCGCTGCTCTCAGGACTGGCGGAGCAGCTGCAAGAAAGACAAACCTCCCCAGGGATTGAAGACATAGAAACTAGCGTAAACCCTAAACCCTAATAAACCCTAAACCCTAGTAAACCCTAAACCCTAGTAAACCCTAATAAACCCTAAAACTCTAATAAACCCTAAACTCTAATAAACCCTGACAAGCCCCAGGAAACCCTAGTAAACATCAAAACCCTAATAATAAACCCTCATAAACCCTAAGGAGTTGGTTATACAGGCAGCAACAACCCTGCTGCTGCTGCTGCTGCGGCGACAACAGCTGACAGCGGTTGCCGCTGCAGCAGCAGCAGCAGCAGCAGCAGCAACAGCAGCAGCAGCAACTCCGTGCTTCTCGCCCCTCTTCAGCCCGTATTCATGTTGCCTTTGCTAGGACGACAATTACTTCTTCTGTTTCTGCTGCTGCTGCTGCTGCTGTTGCTGCTGCTGCTGCTGCTGCTGCTGCTGCAGGAGGGTGTATTGAAGATAGTGTGTGAGGGCGGGGTGACCCTGG